CTTATTCAGGATACGCGATGGCCGTCATGGCACTTCTGCGTCAGCAGCAACTATCCACTAATCTCCCTTTATTTATTCGCATCTTCCTGATGCAACTTCCATAGATGCCACTGAATCATTTCATCCAGCAGAGCTGACAAAGCCCTTGACTACCAGACGACCGCAGAACCGCAAGCCGGCAGACGGCGTCCGGAGTGAGTTCTGCTCGGTAGACGTCAAATTAAGTCCTATGTTAGTCGGTCTGTGATTAGCTGTTACAGAGACCAGAAACAGCGAGCCTTTCGAACGCATACTTCGACTTGACATAGTCACGACAGGCGTTAACAAGTGCACTTTGTGTTAAATTAGTCATTTCAACCTGGCAACGTCTATGTTCCTCTATAACTACCACAAAGAGCCGCCACGTTTTCTTCATCAACACTCATATGATGCCTGACATGACGCGATTCCTCAAACTTAAGATGCTCACACCAGAATTACTGCACTAAGTGCTTACGAAGGAACTTAAGGTGTGACAATTGATAACGTTTTTATCCGTAGAAAAGAAGCTCACAATGTAAGTAGAAATAAAAACAGTAAAGATAGTAAGAGCTAAATGACTGACAAACAGATCTGACTTGAAAATATTGACTAACTTTAGCCCGTCTACAGGTAAATCTCATGAGAATTCTATTGAAAAAAAAGGGATCTAAGCTGGTACAGAAACTGCACATAATCTATGCACCTTGCAGGTGTAATCAGTAATTGGTGTTTATGACCGGCTGAGAACAACCTAACTATAAAAATTGGCCAAAGGAAATAGGAACGCATATGTGTGGAATCCGGTATTTTGGTTATTATCAGCAGGTAGTTACGAAAATTGAACATATTTGCCAGGGTACCAAAGTCTAATTACATAAAGGAATTTTAGCAGGTTTGGGGGCTGCTTGAGATGCCAAATTCAATAGACTTTTTGTACCTCTTTTCTAATTCTTCACGTTAATATAGGGCCCGGTGCGCCAGTTCTTTAAATATCTACAGCTTACATTCCATTTAAATGTGTGAAGATCATGTTAGCTTCCGTGGGACTCGATTACACGCCAAGATGGGGGAGGCTTTGGTGCAGCTAACGCCCTAGCTAAGTCACCAAGCGCACATCTCCCGGATTGGTCCTCGTAGCTTACATGACGACTGTGCTTGCTTTGTCGTAGCCTTGGCCTTGCTGACGTTTGTTCGAATCCCACCGAGCCCGCCTAGTTTTGCTAAACTGGGTCAAACCAGTTATTCGTTACTGGCGAAAAAACCCGGCTTCGCCTTGAGGCCTCCCTGCCCATTATAGTTCCCTTATGAAGGCAAATGGGTCGTTCTGTGACATCACGCAGTGTTCTATCCAGCGCTCCCACTTCCTATTCAAAAAGGCAGGTATTCGTCGTAAAGGATAAGGAGTATTAGTAACAACAACTTCAGCAATGGTATTCTCCCACTTATCATCATTTTGCGGCATACAACGCATCTTTTCACGTGTAGTATGATGAGACCCCAATATGCAAAAAGCGCCAGGGCAACAAAAAATTGCTGGTAAAATTGGAGGAATGCAGCTAAAGTCGTATCTTTTGGGATTTTTAAGTTTATCCAAGAGGGATTATTCCATAAAGTAAATCCGTTGGCCATTTTCCAGGTTGACACTTAAGTGTTCAATTGCCGGAGGCGCTGGATTTAGCCCTTGCTGCGTTGGTGGCGGGGGGATAGTGGTTCATGTGGCCGCGACTACCTGGACGTCAATTGTATGGGGGTCAGCGTGGAAGTAGGCAAACTTTTTTACGGTCAGCGAGTCTTTCTGGAACAGCTGGTACGGAGCGTAGGATAGACAGCTCGCAAAAGCGATTCCCAAGAGAGGCGGACAGGCACGCGTCATAGTGCCGCTTTTGCAAACTATGCTATCGGCGAACAAACCTATGACTCTTGACGCCAACCAATAAAAAACGGAATAGGAACCCCACAGAACCACAAGATCGCTTTTATTAAGTATACAGATTGCTTAACTTCCCAACCAATTACAGGTATTATATCCGGTATATCGGGGACATATACTAAAAACATATGTAAGCAAGGTATGGTCTAGAATTGTTGATTTTCCAAACGCTTACCTGCCGTTTTTTTGGCGGACTGCCTTCGGTCAATTCGAATTCATCATCGACACCAGACGTTGTGACAAATCTGGCCGAGGAGGGGCCTCTACTATGGGTTTCCGTCGTACATACTTGCATTTTATTCGCTCACTTCTAAGGTATTTCCCGTTTTAAAATAGTGATGACACTTATTTCTACAGGAAGCCATTTTGTTAGCATTTTGTTGCTTAATCAGACGAAGTTTTATCCCTCGCTTTAAACGCAGACTGCCGTATTAGATGTACCTTTCTGTAAGACTAGTGCAACAGCAAACGGTTGCCACTCGCCTCGTATTTTACCAAATTTCAAAAGGCAACATCCAATCCAAGTCTAGGACCAACAGTTAAACGTTTTGTCTAAGATAATAATCCTTCAAGCGCGTTCATCATACATTTTAATAAATGTGCCAGCTCCGGTTTCGGTAGTACACGACTATGCCCCTACGAAGCAATATACCTTAAGAGCGAGATAGAGACGCTTTTACTCTTTATATCTATCCACGACCTCCACGTTACATCTACTAAAATCCCGTTTTAATCCACCATTTCGATAGTTCAGATGAACTTGCGGGAGATGTTACGAGTATGGCCGAGCACATCCCAACTCGACCTCCCAAGGTTCCTGAATATCAGGCCATGCGTCACGAAAAGGCGTGAAGTGGTAGGCCTTCCAGGTCGTAGAAACGTATGCGAAGATATT